ATCCATTCCCATGCCAGTAGCGACTTAATTGGTAATGTGATCCTCTTAAAATTGCACGACCCAGTTTCAGTTTCTGTCTTTGCTTTCAAGAATTCACGAGCTCCTGATTCTCAAATTGAAACGAACTGACCGAATATTATCCGATAATAAACAAGTCGGTCTAGAAAAGTATAGACAAACAAGCCGCGCGGGAAACGCGTTATTTTCCAACGGTAAATAGAAGGATTTGCTCGATAAGCAGCTCGCGGTACGAAATTATTGCGGGTGAAATCAATTTATCGACGATTATAACAATCCGGTAGAACGGAGCCTCTTTTCTTCGACGAAATAAAAGCGTGGAAAGTATTCGTGAAAATTTGTAATCCAGCATCGAATAAAAAACATGTACAAGAAATATGAGAGAATCGTTGAAATATTTATCCCGTCGTTTTTCATCGCGCGAGTTCGCTGGACACGAATCGGCTGTTCGATCAACCGCGACCAAATAAACATTTCGTTCAATTTGCAGCGACAATAACTTGCTTAACGCGCGGAGTTAAAAGGACCCTTCGCTCGTTGTCCAAATAACGGTTCGCGTGGTCAACGAAATAATGATCGTATCGGAGTTGATTAACGGAGAATAAAAAACGATCCACCCGGCAGGTATATCGCTCCTCGAATTTCCATCGGGGTTTCGGCGAAGTTTGACGAGGCGCGATCGGGAAACAGAGGAATTCGATCCAATCATCGTGAAACTTGAAAATCTATCAATCGGTACGAGGGACCTGAAAAATTGGCAAATACCAAAGACGCCGGACGGCGGGACGGGGCGGAGAAGCGAGGCGTGTTTACAGAATTCCGACAAAGCCCGCGATATCGATGGGTGGGTGGGACCCGGGCAAGGGACGAACGCCGGTGCAAAGTTGAAAGGTTAAAATCGTCGGGACGTTGAATAAGCGGTGGAAATTTACGCGAAAGGAAGAAGGGGGACGACGGAGACGGAGAAAAGCCGATGCCGCCGGAAGCAAAACTAGCTGCGAAGGAAACGAACGAACGAACGCGTTGCGACGCGACTCGTTCGTTCTCGAGACGTTGTTCAAGCAGGTTCCTGTCGTCGCAACGAAATTGCGGCTGTTTGTCCGGGACAACCGACAGCAATTCCATTTTATCCCGAGCCATGACAACTACGATTTACCCCCCTTATCCAGAAAACGCGGTCATACTCATGCCCATTATTTATTTCACTCTTGACGCACCGGTCTACGACAAATCGCGTCGACCCGTTCGGAACGAACGCTCGACTAATCTTGACCGATTTTCGACAAACAACTCGACAGAACACGATCTCCAACTTGAGAATAAATCTGCCAACTATTCGTTTTACTTAACAAAGAACAGGGTATATAAAAAATTGACTATCATCCGCTGTAATCGGTCTACGTCCGTCCATGTACGTTTAGTCTTTGAATTGCGTCGTTCCTCCCGAGGCTTCCTCGCGTCGCGAAGATGCATCGCGCTCCTCTCGGGACGAGTTTTTCACAAACACAACTGGACAGCCTGTACTGAGAAACTTGTTACACTTTATCACGATTAACGTCCGTATCAACCATCGCGTGTACGCATAAATACATCCACTCTTGGTAATTTACGAAGGGGCAGGACCGTTCCATTTGTCAAGATCCCATGAAAGAATTCCGGTTTATTAATTTTCGTCGCGGGTTTCGGTCTCTTCGTCGACGCGCATAGTTTCGTTGCTCGATGGTCCTCGATAAGTTTTATCCTTGATGAAAGAGGGAGAGAGGACGCGGTCCCGCAGGAATGTCGAAAAGTTTCGCGGTCGTTCCATGTATCCTTGGATCGTTCCATTCGTTAGTCAACTTCGCTCTCCCGCGTACTATTCATACCTTCTTCGTCCGAGTTCCAAGGTTACTTTCCTCTTTGTACATGGAAAACGGTCGATACTATGCATTTAGTGCTTATGCAACTACCAAACTTTTCGAAAGTTGTAACGGTGTCAGAATCGAACGCCAGCTTTCCGTTTAATTATAATATACATTCTTATGAGTTCCATTCTAGTTGAGCCAAAGACAAATTCAACAGAATAATTGAAAAAAAAATAATCAGATGTACTTCCTTTTGTAATTAGTGTTCCATAGTGTGGATTTTATTGTATTTGTTGTAAATGAAATCGAGCAAGAGACGAGCATAAGTTTTCGAAGCCAGAAATTTCTAAATCTCTCTAATGTTTCTACGAACAATAAACTTTCTCCCCAACGAGATACGATCGCCGTGAAGTTACGAAGTCCCCTCCATTCTGAACGTATCTACTACGAGCAGCGAAACGACTGGTGCACAGATATCGAAGGGGTTCGAGAAGTCCATACACAGTCTTCCAACGACGAGAATCATTCGAGTTCGATACGGATCGAACGGTGAATTTCGGAAACGTTAGTATTCGATGTTGAAAAAAGAAAATACCGAGGTATACGTGCTTCGGGACGATCAACAAAATGTACTTCCGATAAATCGCGCGCGTCCTGCAAATGTATGCGAGAAGTTGCGAAAGTTTCGTACACGCCGAGCGAAAGTTCGAGCATTTTTCCAAGTGATTTCGAATTCTGCCTGGGCTAACGAGTGACGAACGCGTCTTCATCGTGGCCAACGCAACTGAAAACGTAAACGAAGCGAAACTAAGTCGGTGGAAATTTTCTTGTCGAGAAACCGTTCTTGGTTTAATGGTTGTTATTAATTTATTTATAATTATTCTCGACGAAATCAGGATGACATATCAAACGTGTAATAAAAGATATTTCCAAGAATCCTTGCCCTTTTCATCTTTTATCCTAAGAGAAACGCGAAAATTAATAAAAATATGTTCCACTCTCTGAGTGATCGAACGTTTATCAAGCGTCTGCCAATGAAGAGCATTTATCAAGTTTCAAGATACATGTAAAACGGAACGAGACTGCAACTGGGTTACGAATGCACAGGGTGCAAAAATCATTTGTTACAGTAAATTTTTATTTGGGATTCACTGGAAACTCGATACGTGTAAGGCCTGATTTATAGTATCGACGAGCCGTGAACGAGAATGTACGCACATACGAACAGATAGTAGGAAATAATTACAGTCCTATTTCACTGTGTGTGCACTGTGTGCATCGGTTCACCGCTTGTACGTCGCTCGACTCAGTTACGCACGTGTATAAACGAGCCTGAATGCAAATCAGATGTCGTGTGGTATATATTTATACAAAATCGCGTGTAAGTAATTTTTGAACGAGCATCACGGACTGTTTATCTCATCGAGAAAAAAGACTGACGGAAACGTGTACTCATTGAAAGCAACGGTCTACAAATTGTCCTAACGTCGAGAGGGGAAAAAGCGCAGAACCGAAAGGCGTAAAGTTCCGGAAGCAATTCGTTCGCGCGTCGGGAACATTATCCGTTAAGAGTGAGGAGAATAATAAGCGAGGCAGAAAACGGGGTCGTGGCAGCTCGGTGGAAAGGAGCGAGCCAGAGGCCAGGAGTCAGCCGCGCTATGGACATAAGACGGCGAGCGGTGGCTCTCGATAGACCGCGTGAAATTTTCAAATCTTAATTGCGGGGAAATGGTGTGTAATGACGTGAAATATTACCCAGAAAAAGATGCTGACTCTTATTACAGTCTCCTACGGGGTCGAATCTTTTAATCCGGGCGACTACTTTTCCCCCGCGTCTCCGCACCTGCCGGGAAACGCTGACCCGTCATTTCCATTGCCAATCTGTTACAGACACGCGCGATCCATCGGGGAGAAACACCGGGGAGGCTGGCGAGGGAGGAGGCCTATTTTCGCGATCTTTTTCCGTCCCTTCCTTTCGCGCCCATCCTTAAAAAGCTCCACGGGAGCGCATCGAACCAACGCGCTCTCTCTCTCCCCTCAGATTTTCGTAGATTCTATCTAACGGGTCTCGATGCTCCTTTGTTCGATTCGATCTCTCGCGGCCTTCCTACGGTTGCTCGCTCAAACGACTCGTCCCGGATCGAGAATCGCATAGCAAAAAATTGAAACCACTTCGCTTTGAATAAAGATCAGCTCGTGACCACTGAAAATTGCTAGGATTACGTATAATTTGTGTGAAAGTAACTTGGAAATTTTTGAATAAAATAATTCTTTATCGAGATAAGACACAGTATTCTTCGAGTTTCAACAGACATTCTTCAAACGTCAATAGAAACTTGTTCGCTCGACGAAGAACGAGAGAGAGAGACGGTTTATAGCATAAGAATTTTCATCGTGTTTCGGACGTCTCCGTCCCAATTAAGGACCGCGGCCTCGTTAGCGCGCAAACGAACCGCAACTTAATTTTAATCTCAAACAACGGTCAAACGTGGTTCCTACTCGTTCTAATTTCGTTCTGGTAGGGCACAGAGATGATAAAGGCTGACCGATACTTGAGAACGCCCGATGAGAAGCTTAAAGAATAAGAGAGCAGCTAATTCGACGATCAACGGACTATGGTGTTTACTTCAGTTTCAAATCAGAGTCAATAGTCCACTGCCCGGGTTGCGAACGTAGCCACACGGTGAGACTCGGGTTGGTACCATTTTCAAAAATCTTTGAAGCTGTACCAAGCTAAGAACTACGATCTAGTTTAAAAATCTCTGTATCTCAAATTGTACGTTGATCTCTCAATAAAATAATGTATACTACGAAAATTATGAAAAATTATTAAACATGTCCCGCGATTTCGTTGACGTAAGGCTTCGTTTTACGAAGGAAGAGAGTTCGTCCGCCACGGAGGACACACGACGCTAGGATGCCGCGAAGCCACGGCATTAAACCATTTTCTCCGCCGGCGGGATTTGCATTTCCATGTTACAGGAGATCCTTGGTTGCGGAGATACGGTAGATAGACGGTAATCTGAATGCATCGGCAGAGCGCGACGCGCGGCTGCAGGGCCGTATAATACGCGTCCGAGGTGTGTTGTCTGCTGCGAACAGGCGCAGGCGTCGTCGAGCCCAGGAACGTTCGTCAGTCGTCGGCCGAACTTGAAACGCGCGGCTTCACGACGTTCCACTCGCCCGTGCCGAAACACGCCTGCCACACTATTTACCGTTCTTATTTTATTAAATCGTGCACCGATCGACCGAACGTTCGCCAAATCGATCGAACTCCCGCGGAGCCGTTCACCACTGCGTTCGCCGAAGGATAGCTTCACGGCCGTTCCGCTGCACGCGGAAAGTTCCTGTGCGTAAACGACCGACGCGTCTTGTGTGAAACGCGTGATACATCACAATTCCTGCCCGATAATCCACTCGTAGAAATTGCAAATATAACTCCCGGTATCCGTGCCATCGCACAATCTATTCGAGGCTATCCGCTTTCATCTTCGCATGCCGTTTCGCGTTATCTACAAGTACATATACATATAAGCTCCCCTACGTGCACGGCTGGCACATTTTTCTGTCCATTTCGAACTCGATCGAGAACGGTGTCTGCAGGTCGAAAGAATTTCATTTCCACTGCAATTTTATCGCTTTCACGACCCATTTCCCGCTTCCGATCCATCGAGCCATCGTCGCTCCGACAAATGTATGCGTGCGCCTAACTACCCCCGTGAAATAGTATCATTCGCGTCCCTCCTATTTCGGAATTCCGCCCTTGAACGGTGATCGTAACACCCGCCCCCGTGATTCCTCTGATAATTTTGATTTACGATAACATTCTTCGGGCCTCTTAAACGCGACGCGCATACCCGATTCGACGATCCTAAATTAATTTATGTCCTTAATTACAGACCAATTATCTCGTCTCTCGAGGCACGGCCAGCCACGGCTCGAGTACACATCTCTATAGCACCGCAGAATTCGCTTAGAATAATGTCTGCATAATTACAGTTATTCGATCAACTATCTTTATTTTCTTTTATCCTGTTCCCTCCTCCTTTTACAGCGTTTTAATCGAGCTGCTCTGAAGAACTCTGAACCGCGGTAAACAGTAGATACGTGTTAAAGTTGTACGTGGGACTCGGTGCGACAAGACTGGAATAATAGCGTGAAGAATAATGCCTGTTCGAAGCACGGCTCACGATTTCGTCGAACGATAAGCGGTAAGAGCTCCTATTAGACGTAATTCAGAATACATTCTCACTTTCCATCGCGCCGCGGCATTACGTTTTACAACACCCGGAATTATGCCATAATCCTCGCGATAGGTACTCGTAAACGAGCGGCACTCGAATGCAACCGGAATTTTTAACGGTAACTAAAAAACCGCGTAAGAGAAACGGTCTCTTTCGCCGAAAGCTCGACTCTCAGGTACCGTAAAAAAATATTAATCTTCGGGCCGTGATTAGCTCCGAAGCACCGTTGGCTCGAGGGCCTCGCTATCGGCGAAGGTACCGCGCTTCTGCACACCCTTCGCCCCGAGCGTCATGATTACGACGCTACAATTACGCGAACTGCAAACTTCGTGCTACAAATTACAACAGCGTGGGACAATAATAATTATCTTCGGATGATCGCTTACGGGGCTTCAGCCCTCGTAACGAAATGGATCGAGTTCTCTTTAAAAGTTCGTGGCTGTACTTCAGAGTCCCCCAAGCTTTCTACATAGAACACGTGTAATTCTACTAATTTTGCGGTGCTGAGCACGAATATGACAATCGTTTTTGGCAGAAACGACAATTTGCATAATAGAACAGAAATTACTTAATAAAACGTACTTGTTTGTTCAGTTCGAGAACAACTCAGTATGATAATAATTCTAGCTAGAGACGTGTTTGTGATAAGACAAACACCACGTACCAAGTTGTAAACATAACAAATAGAACTACCGAATGAATTATAGTACGGTCGATGCATTCATATCCTAGTTTTGGAATTGTTAAATAATTATTATTTTGTCATACCATCACGTCTAATAAATGGAATCGTCGACGTTTAATATTGGAAATAAGAATAAAATTTTTACATATGAACAAAGACGATGTATCCCAAGGACTAATCCGAACTCTTACTAATTTCGTCTAACTGGCAAGAATACAGATAATTAGACTGCGGTTTTTTATACAGAACGAAGTATTCGTCATGTCAATCGAAGAAACGTGATAGAAATTTCTCCCTCGTTTTCATATTTCATATATTTTTACACAACTAGCGTACATCGTCACCACAGATAGAAACTTGGAAAGGGTCAAAGCTAAATATAGCCTAATACATTTTAGCCTTCTATGATCTAACGCTCTATCGGTCAATAAAAAAACAGCGAACGAAGTTCACGCCTAGCGGGCAGTAAACACCGGCCTATCGACTACCTTCTAACGAACGATACAAGCCACTGTTCAATAGCTATCGAGCGATTCGCAGCTTTTGTACACGGATACCTGAAACGGAAGACACTGTTCGATAACGCACCGCGGTATTATTTTCCGCGAGCTGTGCAAACAAGCCTCGCAGGGATGAAATTGATGCCAGCAACGCGGCACCACATTTTATTCGAGTCGCGGGACAAAAGAGACCGTGAAATACGCTATTTCCTGACACCAGAGTGCTGTATAATTTAATAACGTCGGTACGATGTGCTTTACGTGACCGGATTTCTATTTCAACTTCTTTCCATGAACGAACAAGCTTCCATCGCGCGGTAGATTCTAACGACTCGACTGGTTGTCGGTTTATAAAGCCATGAACCGTGTCGAGTCAGCTGCTACTTAGAAGATTTAAAACGGAGAGGAACATGAAACATTCATTTGGCAGACGTTCATACAACTTTGCTTAGCTTTTGAAAACGGGAACACATTATTATTGAACAACCTAATTAACTATTTAATCGTCTCGTCGAGTCGACTCGTTTAATACTTTCACGAGTGTCGCGTTTTATTTTTTCTCCGGTCGATCCCCGTGTTCGAAACAAAACGCGGGTATCCGACGGGCTCGACGTCGGCGTTCAGGTTCGCGGCTTTGTTTCTTTCCCCCTCGGCAAAAAGAGGACGACGCTCTCCTAATCGCACCACGCGAAACGTCCATCATTTCAGTCTCCGGGTAAACCGCGCGCGCCTCGCCCGGAAAACCCCGAGTTCCGAGCAGAGAAAACAAGACCGTAATCCCTACAATCTTTGCCAACTTCGATTCTCGTTACGACTGATCAGTTATGAACCTCGTTTCTCGTTCTGGCGACCTTTATTCGCCTTTCCGATGACCATCACTAATAATTATACTTTACTGGAATTATTTTTATGATTTTAATTCGGTACATATACTTATAAATATATTTGAACGCAATCTGTTTTGTTTAACTGTCACTGAAAGATAGTACAGAGTCGGGGAAGTCGACGATTATATTCGATTATCATCTTGACCGTGTCTGTAATTTGCGCAATATTGCGGCGAGTAGGTTATCGCGATCGAGATGTATCTCGATATATAAATGATACTCCATTACGTAGAAGAGAGGTCGGAAATGAATCACGGGTTTCGAGCATCGACGCGTGATCGATACAGGGAGAATAAGATATCTCCGATAGCATCGCAGGGTGAAAAACGCGCGATGCGATTATTGTGACCTGTCGTTTTCGCGAACCGGACAAATCGTTTTCTCACATCGCGCAAATAAACTGACAACGAGAAGTTAATAACAATAATTATTGATCCAACGCAGTCCGATTTGTTGAAGCGCGTCAATCGACGATTTGCGAAACGTAAAACCGACGTAAAGTTGGTAAATGAAATTCTCGACGATGAAACGTAAAGAGAAACGTAGAAAATGCACAGGTGTTCGGGAAGAATTGAGAACGGCGCAAAAAGAGTGTATACGTGACAGTAAAGGGAACAAAATAGGGCACTACGCGTCTGTCTCCTCGTTGACGCCGTACTTTCGCTTAAATCGGCCGGCTAGAATGCGAGAGGGAGCGAATATAGCGGAGGAAGAACAGGCAGGAAAAGCTCGGGAGGAAGTGGATATTTCGCCCCGGAGAAAATTTGAATAAAACCGGCCGGGTACTAGAACTCTCCTCTTTTTCCCACCGGCTTCCTGCCGTCCTTTCTCGACTCGAAGAAATGCAAGTTTCGCGGAGGAAAGTCGTAAAAAGCCCTGGCCAGGTCCCGCCGCCACCGCCGTACCCAGACCTTCGTTGTCTCAACATCTGCGGTCCGAATTTCGCGCCAGCCAATTATTCGCACTCGCCCGTTGTGTTTCTACCCCTTGTTCATTTGCCTTTTACCTTTCATCACTGACGAAACACGTTCGTTTATCACGAATTGCGTCTATACAACCCGCTGTGACAGACCGAAGAAACGATCATTTTCAGGACGTACAGCAGTTCAATGCTGATGAAAATAGATATTCCTATTATTATTAAAAAGCTACTTGCAAAATTTTAAATCAATTCATGGGTTTTTTAAA